AGATTTATAAATCTTTTCAGTTAATGACTAAGGAAAAAAATATTTTGCTTTATATATTAATAGCACTATGTTCCTTAATGTGCCATCACATTCTATTTCTCAAATAGTTAAACAAGGAATATCCAGAGCAATTCATTTATGGGCTATAGAGTAATACCACAGCTTTAGGAAGAGTAAACATATATACTTAACAGAATGACTAGGAATTTGGACCCATTGCTACTGAAGATCTTGGTAAGCACAGACTTGGTCCCAATTACCATCATTAACCGAGGATCACTGGTATTCTACTGTCAATGAATTGCAAACATTTGTAACTGCAATTGCCAAATCTGTGCTTATGAAGATCAGCAGTAACAATGGGTCCAAATTCCCAGTCATTCTGTTAAGTATAAAATATGTTTACTCTTCCTAAAGCCATGGTATTACTCTATATCCTATAAACAAACCACTCTGGATATTCCTTGTTTAACTATTTGAGAAACAGAATGTTATGGCAATCAGATTCTTTTCTTTTTTAAATCAAATATATGTGTATATGTTAAGACTCAAAGAGAAATTCAAGTTTTAAAAAGGACCTGTTCCAAAACAGATTTTACTGTGGCTAGTCACTTGTGCAGCCCCATACCTAGATTGTTTGGGTCATGGACCTAAATATAACAAGTACAGGTGGTCCTCATTTAATGACCACTCATTCAGTGACTGTTCAAACTTGCAACAGTACCAAAAGAGTGGTAGTTATGATTGGTCCTCAAAGTTATGGCTGGGGCAGTGTCCCCGTGTCACATGATTGCGATCAGGATGCTCAGCAACCAGCCCAGATTTCCAACTGTTGCAGCATCCTGCAGTCACATGATCAAAATTTATGACCTTCCCTGCCAGTTTCCTACAAGCAAAGTCAATGGAGAAGCTGGCAGGAAGTCAGAAGTCACGATCATGTGAGGTCCTTGCTTAACAACTGTAACTGGGGACTGTCAGAACTGCCGTTGCACAGTGATGCAGTCATGTGACATTACGCTTTACATCCGCATTGCTTAGCAATGGAAATTCCGGTCCCAATTACCATCATTAACCGAGGACTACCTGTACTCCATGTCAATGAATTGCAAACTTTTGTAACTGCAATTGCCAAGTCTATGCTTACCAAGATCATCAGTAGCAAATGGTTCAAAATTTGAAGATGTTGATCTAGTACTGCCATTGTCTCTATCATTTTGCTCAGATTCTCTACAAGCACCTTGGTCAAAATTCTTTGTAAATGTCTCCTAAACAAAATACAACACAAAAAATTGGCAATGTTTTCCCACAATCAGCCATTTTCTTTCTTGCATTTTTATACATTACTATTCAGGAATCTTAAGTAAGATTATTTTGAAGCAGACTTCTCAGACTTGATCCCCTGCAGGTATACTGACTTGTTAGCAGGCTATGCTCTTCCGGGGATGATTCAGCACTATAAATCCTCTGAACTGGAAGCTGCTTTGTTCCCAAACAGATCTGCTTCATTTGGAATGCCATGCCATGTCTGCAATACCCTGAACTGCTTCCAGTTCAAAAGATTTACTTCTGGAAAACACCAAGCTCTCCTGAGAATGGTATGGTCCAGAGGAAGTCTGGTATGGTCTGAAGCAGGCAGAACATTCCCGAATTGTCCAGAGCCTTCATTTCCTAAATCAGTGACTTCTGCATATCCCTAGCACACCTGACAAATGTCTTGCTATTTCTGTGTCGAAAGCAACTGTTTCTAGAAAGTAATAATTCCCACTTTAAAATAATTGTTAAGTATTGGACAAGTAAACTCAAGCTACAATAATGAAACTGCAAAATACTACATCCATTTAGAATGGAATCAGTACGTAAAAAGAAAAGAGCATATGGAATTCTACACCATCCTATGATTTTTTTTAAAAAATATTTTATTAATCTATTAGAAGAATACAGATCAAAAGCTACAGTAGGAACAAAAGATGTTATGAGAGTTGGAGAAAGAATGAGATGGCTTGAGGTTAATTCAAGCTTAACAGAACCAATCAATGTGGTTTTAAAAGACCTCCACAGTTCAAGTTTTATAGGGGATTTTACCTATATTTTACATAAAAGCTTAAAAGACTATGACTTGCCCTTTGCATTTATACAATATGTAACTGACTAAAGTAGACAATCCAAATCTAATTATTCAATGGGCAGCTTTAGGTATTATCACAGCTAACTGGCAATGAGTTTTTATGCTAAAATCCAAAAAAACTTTACTAAGGAAAAGGGCAAAGTTAACCTTAAAATATTCCCAAGGTTTACATAACTCTTACATCATCAGTGGTTGCAAGGCTTTCACTGGGAGTAAGCTCTGAATTTGATCCTAGCCACGCACTTGAGTTCAGTTGCTTTGGACATTCTCCTTTTGCATTATCTTCAGATGCATGTCTGGTTGCTATGTCCTGTATAATGCAATAGTTTTTGTTAGAAATATATTGTAAAAAAATTAACAAAAGAAAACTTCAAATCATGGTTTTCTAAGTACCTGTAAAGCATACAATGCTCTTTGTCTCAAATAATCTGTATTTAGCATCTGGAGTTCATGGAAAAGTTCAATTAGAAAATGAGGGCGAGATTCATTTTGAGATATCAAAGTAGCTACTTCGGAATAAATGGTGTCTCGTAAAGCTTCAAACATAGAAAGGTCACTGCCTGTTTCTGCAGAAAGATAAAGAAATAAATACCATCATTATCTTCTCTTGATACTAATTTTCTATTAGAACAAATGTTTTGAAGAGAATATACAGTATAGATATGGTATAGTCACACCCTCCAGGAAGAAGGCAATATCTTCATCCCATGTATGAAAGGAAAGGGAGATATTCCTGTTCAGTGGTTAACTCTCTGCAGGATGCTATTCTAGAGTTCCCTGATTTTAGTGAGGCAGTTGCTAAAAATATGAAAAGTCCTTACATGTGAAGGGAATACTGAGCATGCCAACTGTGATCCAAGTTATATTGTACTTAATTTACATTTCTAAAACAGATCAATTTCTGCATATCTAACTTTGCAGAGTTAAAATTTGCAGAAAAAGTCACACCACAGACCCAGACACTATAGATACTGAAGATTAACCATAATTAGATACATCCTTCCATCCACTTGTGAATCCTATTTTAAACACAGGATTAAAATCAGTAATGAATCCCCTGTTTAACACTGAAATCCCAAATACTTGCAGAAATGTATGTGTTTAATATACCACATTGTGATTTTGTGACCAGGGACAATATTCTAGCTTTGGGTCAATGTTCTGCATTCCAAATATTAATGCCTTAAATTCAATTTATTTCCAAATGCTTCTTAAACATTTTTGCCCCATATCCTGCTATCAAGTCATTTTTTTATTAAGTATAAATGTGTGAATTTCCAAAATGGTAGCATATTAATACATTATAACACACATCATCTATCACCTGTAAACTACATCAGAGAGCCAAATCATTCCTGACATTTATGGACCTAATCAGTTCCTTTGCTTTACTGTCCGTGTCATGCCTCTGATGAACTAGGCAGCTGTATATGAAATTTTATACAATATATATACAATATATACAATATATATATATATATGTATTTATTAATATTTTAAGATGTCAAATAGTTTATTTGCTCTTGAATTCTGATAAGTGCAATTTTACAGACATCCAATGATGAAGGTTAGCAACTACAATTCTGCCTCTTAAGCATTAATTCATTCAAGCCATTCATTTTTAAAATAATAATAGTCTTCTTCTATTCCACTTGACCCATAAGCTGTATTTTCTTGTAGCTAAGACTTACTTTCAGAAATTATTGGGGACCAGCTCTCATTTGCCAGCAGATACATCACTGAAAATTTCATTTCAGCACAAACAATATATTAAGCTCTACAGTCGTCTTGCACAGTATGTCTAGATTTTCAGAAGCTCACCTACTCAAACTGTCTTAAGATACAAATAGTTTATAATAATCCAATAAGCTTATATTTTTCTGGAAGTTACTACCTACCCATGGTTGATGGTTCAATCACAGCTCAAGAACAAATACAAAAAATAGCTGTCTATATTACATACTGCCTATCTCAAGAAACAGCTTTAAATACCAGATTTACTGGTAACCATAGCTTAATTTCCAATATAAAAGATATTACTTTTATCCAGACATAAAAGCCTTTAATTTAATATCTGCAGGATCTGCTTGTGACTTTTTAGTAATAATATCTACTCAAGTGAACAAGTAGATAAAAACCTTTCATTAGTATGTAGAAACCATTTGAACTAATGAAAGGTGCACTTAACAATTAAGTAAGCTGAGAAAAATTTAGAAGAGATTTAAAAATGAAGGCAAGTAAGTTTAGAAGCTAAGCAGCTAGTGCATTACCTGGTGCTTGTATGCATGCATTTCTGTTAGACTGCTGCAGTATTCTCCTAGCATGTGCTGCAGGAAAGGTGCGGGTGGGAAGGACAGACAGTGATAAACACAAAATGTGTATCAGAAATAAAGGCAAGGCCTAGTGAAATAATGGGAGAATGTCTACTTAATAATAGAAAATATTTTTTTAAAAAAATCCCCAGGGTGCCCTTTTTTTTCCAGGAATGGGAAAAAAAAGAGTATCAGATTCAAAAAGGATTTTTCAAGTAAATGCATGATTTTGCAATGGTGTCCATATACAATTCTGGTTGAAACCAGAATTTGCAACCAAGTTGTTAGCAAATAAAGTAAATATATAATACTTGAATATAAATTCAACACTAAGGTAATATCCCATAATTTCAAAGAGCCAAAAAAAAAAAAAGAAAGAAAGAAACAGATAAACACTTCTTCCTTATTGGTAAAAAGAAAAATTGGCCCTAAACCACTGTTTTCATTATGAGAATGAGCCAGTCTCTAGCCCCCTGGGTCACACACTTTTTCTCCCACCTCTTCTATCTTAGCTGTGAGATTAGACACTTTTGCTTTGGATTTACAGGTGTTTAATGAATTATGCAAGCTATAAACTACAGTAAAGATAAAAAACATTTTGGGGGATAGGGGGAAAGCCTTCATAAATGATACTTTACTGTCACTGGTGTGTCTCTATTTCAGCCAAATCCTGAATAACAAAGGAGGTTGATCTAGTCTAAATATGTGGCTGAATAAAAGAGGAAGTATTTGTAATGCAAAACCCACCTGGAAATTTACAATTTGATTTGGTGCTTTCTAGTGCTGCAGAAATGCTGTATTGTTTCTATAACTCCCTAAATCAGATGAGAAAAGGGGATGTGGAAAGGAGTAGAGGCTAGTGACTGACTAGTCTACTTTGCAATCACTGAGAATGATACATTCTGCCATGATCAAGAATTTATATTAGCTCAAGGAAGAGAATTCTAATGTGAGACATGATAGCAGTCTTTCAACATCTAAAGGACTGTCTCAGGAAAGAGGGTATAGATTTATTCTCCATAATTCCTGAGGTAGGACAAGAACCAATGGGCAGCAGCTTTATAAAAGAAAATTCAACCTTAAAATAAAGAAAAATTTCCTGATGCTGAGAACTATTAACCAGCGGAACACCTTGCCAACTGGAGTTGTGAGTGCTCCATCGCTGGAGATTTTCAAGCAAAAGTCAGACAGCTATTTTCCTGGGTTGGTATGAGTTATTTCTCTGGAACTGGGCAAGAGACAATAAAGTGGATAGTCTCCATTCTCTCATAATTCTGTAATGTACCTGCAAATTTCATTCTATTCTACTGAAAAACAGCTTTCAGTATGTTTTTCCCTAGTTGAAGAATATTGTTTCGTAAAGCACTGAATCAGGCACTAAGCCAAATCTTGTGATCTGTTCAAACTCCATGTTAAAATGAACACATTATATCTGCAGACAACCCAGCAAACTGCAGTAAATCAAAAACAAAAGCTAAGGGCTCTGAAGTCTGTGAGCAAAGGAGGAAGACTGGGCACACTCTTGTAATGTTAAACTATGGTTTCATTGCAACTTCAGACCCCAGAGGTACATGCAGTCCCTCAAAACCCTTAGAGCCCCTTCAAAGTTGCCAATAAACTTAGTAGAAAGCATATTAACTAAATTTAATTAATCTAACTTGAATGAAATTTGAATTAAAGCCAAATCAAATACATCTAGGTTTTGTCCTAGCCCCAGGCACTTTTTGGAGTGCGGCCATGAAGGCTTTGTTCTGACACTCCCAGTTTATTGTTAAGTCTGAATATGCCCAGTGTCATATTATTATGCATGTATACCAAATATGTTTAGAACTGCAACTGAATAACAGGCGTTTTGCTCTTCAAAGTGAAGCCATTATATATGGAGCAGAGCAGTTTAAGTCAAATCTGATCAGAATGTAGTTCTTTTTCAATGGGTTTGAGTCCCAGTTAAGAACACAGGACCAAAGAACCTTATTTTGACTGGGTCCATATAATCTCTGAAAATGCTTCACAAAGGGTTGGAAGCCTGCTAAATGTTAATTGAGGGGAAAGAGTGATCTCTGGAAAGTGAGCAAAAACACCATCCAAGTGCTTCTGCCTGGTTTTGGGATCTCCCTTTCAGCCTAGTCTACTTAGCAAAATCCCCCAATCCTTAGTGAAGTATTTTTACAGGAGAATTGAGGTCTGTCAGTCCATTGCACATTCTTAACTGCAGATCTAACACACAAACACACATGCACACACATATATATGCGGATGGATATATACAATACGCTTTTCCAAATACACACATATGCACATGCACACATATACATATACATATAGAAAAAGTGCACTGTTGTACAATTATTAATTAGTAATAATTTGATTTTGGAAACCTGTTGATAGCTTTTCTTTTTTTGCTTTTAACAGTTATCATTTATTACAAGAAATTAATAAATATAGCAATTAAACATACATTATTAACATGATAATGACAATATAATCTATTTGTACATTTCTTAAGATGAAAGTTTCAGTTTTAAATATGCTTACCTGCATCCATTTGTCATTATATTTCAAAGGATCTTAATAGAATGCAAATGAATTTAGGACTGAGATAAAGAATTCCATACATTTTTTCACAACAGTAGTTTATATCTATGTACCTCCTTCAGTGAGTATTCTGCTAATTAATTAACAATTACATGTGTTATACAACAAAAAGGTTTAAAACCCAATTCCTTTTACGCAGACATGAACAACACGTGAATCAATTCATTTCAGGAGTATATCATTTAAATATTTTTAAAAGAAGTACCTGAAGACATTTCTGATGATCTACTATATTTAATTATTTTCTCTAATTGTTCCCGATTCTTTTTACTAAACACTTTTGCTTGAACAAGTTCTTCTTTCACAGTTGGTCTACTCCTGTTGCTCTTGTAAGGCTCACATGTACTAGAAACACTAGCACTTTCAAAACCTTTAAATAAAAAGATTTTATTTTTATGACTTATTGTAATTCTCCATAGCTATAAAGTTTTAAAATGTCAATCACAATGTCAGTGTTCCTTATAAATTTTGATGTAAGCCGCCCAGAGTCCCCCATTGTGGGGAGATGGGCGGGGACAAGTCCAATAAATAAAATAAATAAATTGAATCAACCAATCTAAACAAAAACGGTTTGGATTAAGTTAATAAAAAGTTGAGCCAAGTACCAGAAGCTGTAACAATTAATTAAACCAACCATGTTACAAGACATTGTAATCTCAGAAAGTTAGGCATTAAAAACAAAGAGAAGTCTATAAGTGTTGGCTACAACTTTTTTGCACTGGAAATGTAAAATGGGTGAAAGGGTATTCATTCATATGATATGGGCTTGTCCCACAATTATCATACTTTGATTTAATATCCCTAAGTTTATTAATAAATATCATTTATATGATGTGAATATCTTTTGAATAATATAGCAAAAAATGGTATTTGTTCATATTTGAAGTATTATGGATTTATTAGGTATAGGAGACAGCAAAAAAAGATTAGTCTTCAATGTTGGAAAGTGTAATCATAGTTTTATAATCTCAGATCAGTCATGTGCATTTTAATTTGTTCATTAATTCCATAAATTCCAACAACAGTCACGTCCAAATTAGTAGGTCACAAAATCTCAGTATTATTGTATTCAAATGATGTTAAACTACTGGCTGAAGGTCCAGTTCTTCCCTTTGGGACTATTCCCATTAACAATCGATGACTGCGCCTTAAGCTGGAACATCATAAAACAAAAACTAATGACTTATAGGCTATCATCAGAGCTCTACAAACCTTGGGCTATGACCATGCCAAACACATACTTCTCAAAAAACTTAATGATATCAAATTTCAAGCAGAAGTAAATACCTTGTCACAGAGAAATAGGACTTGAATGACAAACGGCTTTTAGGAAATGGCCAACTACCCTTTTCACTGACATTCCCCAAACTAAGGAAAACATTCTTTTGGGCAAGGCATAATAATGCCCTTTGGTCTTATTACAGAGAAGTTACTGTAAAATCCCATTTGAGAAATGCATTTGCGCACATGTCGAAACTGTCCATCACATGTTATTTTACAGTATCATCTACAGAGATATTAGTAATGCCTATATCCTGCCTCTTTTACAACAGTACCCTGGGCAAACTGACAATATTTATATGTTCATTCTTTTTTCAGATTGTAAATCATTTATAGCTCAGATCATAGCAAAGTACTGTGCAACACCCATGAAAATTAGGCATCAATTGGTGAAAGGTCTCCCACAGTTGTAACTTACTTTTTATAACAACTATTACAACTCCCTGTATTAGTCTGCTTTTTTTTAATGGTTTTTCTAGCTGTTTTCAGTTATACCTTCTATCTCTGCCCTTGGCTCTAACAAAAGATTTGATTTCTCATGTGCATTCACTTTGTTTATAACATTATAGAAAGACTGATGAGTATTATTTTTTGTGGTCACTATTTAATATGTTTTAAAATTAGGCTAAATTATTTCTTAAATATAGCACATTTTTTTCTTTTCCCCCTTTTCTTTACCTATGGTTTTTTTAAAAAAAAACTCCCCCCCCATTATTTTGCATATTAAACAATAAAATGCAAATGGATGTAAAATACATATTCTAGATAATATGTTGTGAAGTAGGTTAAGAGGACAAGCACATTTCCTCCATGTACTTGTGAAGATGGGAGAAGATGGATTACAGGAGGAACTTTCATCTAAGAGAAGAATATAAAGGTGCTGGTTCAGTTACAAGGGGAATTGTCATAGGACCTGCCTATATGGGAAAGAACTATAAAGTTTTACACTGATGCAGCCTAATTAAAAAACATTTGTGGAGCCCCACCTCAAGGAAAAAAAAGGCAAATATATAACACAAGCACAAAACAAGCCCAATTTTATGTTTAATGCTGTCATACCATTAGCTCTAGGTCGTTTTTTAAACTGGGAACTACTCCTCCTCTTATTCTTGGACTTTGGTGTTTTGTCTTTTGAAGCCAGACTGGCCTGTGCAGATGCTTTCCTAGGTTTAAATGTTTTTGTCACAGTAGTTGGATCCACCGGATCAGGCATGCTACTAAAGCTTTCCAGAGATTCTTCATCAAATTCCCTTCGTCTGCTGATGTCAGGTTGATTTTTGTGATTGCTACATGCTGCATTTTGCACTGGTACTGCAAATCCAGTCCTGAGGAATGGCTGTTTCTCTTTTCCTCCTTCCTGATATTCATTTAACCAAGCTGATCTATTTTCCATTTCCTCTTCAGGCTGTCTCTGACTTCTTAACAAAGACAGAAAGATTCAGAATATATTCCAGCCATGGAATAAAGCCAAAGGTTTTCCAAGAAAAGTTGGTAATAAGAAAAGTAAAAATACAATTTAGCACTGTTCCATTGTGCTACTTTGCACAACCCCACCCCTCCAGCACATCAATTCAGCATCTTCTTTACAATGGTTCAACATTAAATACAATCAGTGTTAACAGCCTTTAGTACATAACCTTGAAAACACAAATATTGGGTTCCAAAAAAGAGGTTGAATGTGCCTTCAAACAAACTGAGCTATCGTAAAAGAGGACAGCTTCCTGCCCCCACAGCATTCTATTTGAATCACTGATATTTTCAATAAACTCATTGTTGCCTAGCTATCAAACTGATATTCAGAATTTGTAGTAAGAGAAAACAAAAGTAAAATTATCCTATAATTTATTTTTTCAAATGCTATTTGGAATTAAAAACAATGGTCCCGTACATTTTTCTCTTTATGCGTTGTACCAACTTTATTAATGAACCTCTATCATAATGGAAACCAAGCTATTCAGTGCTCAGTGTCTTCTGTGGAATCCTTGGGGCTCTCTGGGCTTGGTTGCTTTCTTGCGTCTCAGAAATAACCAACAGACTATTACAACCATATGGCATCTCTGTACCAACTAAGCCCTCCAAAACATTTTAAGTAAACCAGAAGACCAGTAGCCCAAGAAGAAAAAACAGAAGTCATCTATAACATACAGTGTAAGGACTGTAACAACCACTATGTAGGACAGACAGGCAGAAGGCTAGCAGAGTGCATCCATGAACACCACCTAGCAGTCAGAAGACACAATGAAAATTCTTTAATCTCACAGCACATGGACAGACTTAACCATAGTTTCAACTGGGAAACTGTAGACCAAGCTGCATCCAAAAATGCGAGGGAATTCCTGGAAGCCTGGTATTCAGTCAAGTCAGGCATCAACAGGCACATAGAGATAAACAACATCTACACACTATTCAAGAGACAATAAAAAAGGAAACAAAAAGACCAGAACATTTCCTTGCCCAGCAATCATCACCCAGCTAAGCAGAGATTAACACCAAGATTAACACCAGACAAACAATCAAGCAGTAAACAATATCCTAATCAAGGAACTACCAAGAAACAAAAATCCACACCCACACCAACACTGGCAGGGCAAGTTACTATATATAAACCAAGAGCAAACCCCACTCCATTCTAGCACTGAAGATGTTACCTAGCCGGGTAATGAAACATTTGCAAGAATACAACCAAGCTCAGAGAGCCCCAAGGACTCCACAGTTCAATCCTGAGCTATATATATTCTCTTCTATTGGTATCAGTGTCTTCTACTCAGGAAAGTTCTTTGGATATAAATAATTGTTCTGTCCTCCCTTATTTTCAAAAAAAGAAAATAATATGAATCATCCTATTAGAATATCAGTCATTGCTGGACCCAAATGGTATCAAAAGAGATACTCAGTACCATTGAGCAAAGGAAATTCCTCCTATCAACAAATACAAGAATCTGCAACTTAAATGAATCATTTACAACCACCTCTTTCACTATGAGACTTAATCTTTGCTCAAGAGAAAAGAATGCAAAAATGCAAGCACAACTTTCATTTTCACAGCGTATCAAATGCGAGTTATAATGCAATGCTGCCCACAAAGCACTGCAAGCAGATACCTTGGATTAGGTTTCAGATACCTTTGGTTGTCTGCTCCAGAGGTAGAATTACTTTCAAATGGTTTTGGAAATGCCATATAGTCAGCTTTCCCAGTAGTGTTATGGTGTAAGGTTGGCTGATATTCACTGTTCTGAGCATTACAATTGTGTGAAAAGTCCCCCAGACCAGATGGAAACATCTGGCCAAAGTTGATGCCTATAAAAATAAATGAGATCAGAAATAGATTACCTACAAAATTCAATTTTTTTTATCACAGAATACAAGGTAAGTATATATATGCTAACACATTATTGGGTTTTCAAATGTATGATCCCATTTTTCTCCAGGATACTCAAAATAGTTCCGATGAGATTATTCCATTTCTATCTTTACAACTAAGCTACGTCAATCCCATGGCTGCATGGCTAATTTGAATCCCAGTATATGTGATTTGTACTATAATGATAACAGCATTGGTCATGCTTTTGGATGATCTATGGCGAGGGTGGGATGGGGGTTATGCATCCATCCTTGCCCTACTTGACCTCTCTGCAGCTTTCAATACCATTGGCCATAGCATCCTTCTGGATCGGCTCAGGATTGTGGGTGGGCGGCATGGTGTTGTGCTGGTTCACCTCCTTCCTCCGGGGCCGATTCCAGTCGGTGGTAGATGGGAAGGAGAGCTCCTGCCCCTGGCTCCTGTTATGTGGGGTGCCGCAAGGTTCGGAACTCTTCCCCCTATTTAACATCTACATGAGGCCACTGGGTGAGCTCATCTGTCGCCATGGGGTGAGGTATCACGAGTATGCTGATGATACCCAATTATACATCTCTGCCCCGGCAAATTAAGCAATGCTGTGAATGTCTTATCCCAGTGCCTGGACGCTATGAGGGTGTGGATGGGGAACAAGAGGTTTCAGCTGAACCCTGGCAAGACTGAGTGGCTTTGGGTTTTGGGGCCTTCTGCTTCTAGGATTATACCATCTTTGGTGCTGAATGGGGTGCCACTGCCCCAGACAGACCCTGTGCACAATCTGGGGATCCTCCTGGACTCATGACTCCTACTCAAAGAGCAGGTGGCAGTCGTGGCTAGAAGGGCTTTTGCACAGCTTCATATTGTACACCAACTGCGCCTGTTCCTAGATCAGGGGGCTCTGATCACTGTCACTCATGCACTAGTCACCTCTCGTTTGGATTTCTATAATGTGCTCTACATGGGGCTGCCCTTGAAAAGTATCCAGAAGCTTCAGCTGGTGCAAAATGAAGCAGCACGGGCAGATATGTGTGACCCTAGAGCAGTACACGTCATATCTCCGCTCCGCAAGTTGCACTGGTTGCCAGTTTGCTTCCGGGTCCAATTTAAGGTGCTGGTTTTAACCTTTAAAGCCCTTCATGGCATGGGGCCAGGTTATCTGAGGGACTGCCTCTCCCTGATTATATCTGTCCACCCCATCAGGTCTGGCAGAGGGGGCATGCTGCAGGTCCTGTCTGCAAGGGAATTACATTTGGCAGGTCCCAGGAAGTGGGTCTTCTCTGCTGTGGTGCCTGCCTTATGAAATCTTCTCCCCCCAGAGTTGAGGTTAGCTCCATCCACCCCAATATTCTGCAAGTCTCTCAGGACCTGGCTGTGTTATCAGGCTGGGGGAATCGGGGAAATTTTGCGATGGCTCCCTTATTGTGGTTAATATCATCCTTCTGTTCTGTATGCTTTTTATAGTTATCTTTTAATTGTGACTGTTTTTATGCATTTATTGTTTTTAATTAAATGCTGTACGCTGCCGAGAGCCAGTTTTATATAAGATGGGTGGTTATATAAATATAATAAATAAAAAAATTGTATATATACAAGAAAAACAAACAAACTTGAAATAAATTGAGAATAAGGATATATACTAATTTTTTTTAATTTTAACTATTTACTAGTTTAAGCAATTGAGGAACAAACAGCAAAATCAATCTGTACGTGAAGTGCTACTACCTGTGGCTGCAAGTGAGTTTAATGGTCAACTGGGAGTATCCTCTTACAGATGAGTAACTGCACTCATGACCAAATTTCACTTTTAGTTGATTTTAGGGTGCTGTAGGAAAGTTTATACTTAATCCTTTATTCTGTGATATAGAATTTACTAACATCCAAACCAAAAGAATAACAGCTTCACTTTTATTTACAAAACAGAATGGTTCAAATGCACTATATTAAACATGTATCACCAATTAAAATTCCTTTTATATATTAATAATTTCTCTTTATTCTAGATTACTGAAAGGCATGCAAACATATACTCTCTTGTTCTTAACCTTTGTAAATATTAATGCTTTTGAATAACATTAGATTATTTTTTAATCTTAACGGTACTGGAGGAAAAATATTATATACATAGAAGCAATAAATTAAAATCACAAACTAAGATGTCAAGTACTTTCTTCTGCTATTAAAGTAGCAAATCAAGCATGTTCTACATGCATCAACAAATTTAATTAGTCAGAAGATAATTAAGAAGTCCAAAAACAATTGCTTTGAAGAGAGAATGATGTGAAACTAGGAGGTGCTTTCTGGCCATTTGTTTGCAGCAAGAAAAGCAGTATCACTGCTAACCCTAAATTTTGAAAATACCTACCTGGTGGGAAAGAAGAGAAATTTGTGAATCCAGGCACATTAAACAGGTTCATCGCTTGGGAAGGGAAACTGAAGGGACAAAGCACAGTTGGTGATGGATGTGGGGGTGCCCTGTTGCCTTTCTCCTCTTTGGGTGTTCTGGCCTGCTGTTCTTCTTGCTGACGCATTAGATCATTTAACATTTGCTTCAACCTGTTAAGCAATTATTTATGAAGAGAGTAATGTAAGGTTGGGGCAAAGTATTAGTTTTAGAAAATGTAATTAATAAACATAGCCAGAACTCTGCAAATCTGTTGGCAAACACTAGTAAGCAAAAGAAAAGCCAATAACAAATACCAGTTTGCTATAAGTAGCTGTAAGAAAGAGTAAAACCAAGGTATTCTACATATTTAACATGAGCCTTAACTTGTATATGTGTATCTTATAAAAAATAAGAAAATAAAGCTGTTATAATTATTTTTGCTACAGTCCCGGAAATGTAGTATATAAGTTTAATCTAAACGCACCTCAGTAAAGTGTATTTTTGCAACGTTTCCAAAATATTATACTTTCTTTTCCTGTAGCTATTCACATACATAAATTTAATGTGACAATAATTCTCCTATGTACATAAAAATAAGTAAATGCACATAATTGCATTGTGTTATCTGCTATTATTTCTGAAATAGGTAAGATATAAAGTTAAAGTGGATACCTTTGAACATTATTTTGTTGCCAAGTCAACTGAGTGTAGCACTGATTTAACTGATGCATTATAAGGTGTACTTGTGGTGAAGCAACATTACCAGGCATCACACTGTAAGGGCCAGTAAGCAAGGTCTGGAGTAAACAGGAGAGCATCTGCAGAGAAAAATGATGTCAGTTATTTTTAAGATCTTTAAAAAAGAACGTAGCAGGTCAGATGTAACTGGGCCGCTGTCATTGCTATTTTTCCAGAAACAGCATCTTATCCAAAAGTCCTCCAAGAAGACTACATGAGGTCTGGTAGAAAATCCTCTCAGAAAATCCTACTGCTCAGAGTCCTACAAAGTTGCTTGGATTCATTTTCAGTTTATTAAAGCTTAACCGATTCCAGCTCCTGGTTAAAACTGAGCTAAAAAAATCCAATACAGTTCATAAAATATTTAACATATATTACTGAAACCCTAGCCATTCCATTCACTTTTTTGCATAATTTTCACAAAGATGTTTTAAAATGGATACAAACGAAATACTACATAATAGCTCCCCAAAAGGAGAGAAGCGCTATTTGCTAAAATATTCCTTTACAGGTTACTATTTTAAGATCTTGCAGAGGAACACAAAAAGCACAACTAGATGAAAAGTCCCTATAGACGTGCAAGGGCAAATTGGATCCGTATTGAAACACTTGACTAAGATGAGCCAAGTTTACAACTGGGGGGCGGGGGAATCACCCATACTGAAGAAATCTCTTTTAAAAATATTTTTACAACATACCTGTTGATCCTGCATTAAAGTCTGACAAACACTGACACTGAATTCAAGATGCTTTTTTAATTGGTTAATCTGCTCTTGCCATTGTTCTTTCTCCTCCACATAAGAAAGCTCAGACATCCAGCGATGGTTTTCTTGCCGTCGCATGCTGATGTTCTGTTGCTGCCTCGCTTTAGCCAGAGGACGGTAGTTTCCATCTGCTGAAAGAGGACGGGGATTCTTCCGGCTAGGAGCAATGAGTGTTATAACAAGGCATTATATCTCTAGAAATTCAGCTCCTGGTGCAAATAATTTATCAAATAAAATTGAAGCCATAACACAAATGATACAAATGCAACTTAGAGTTAAAGATCCAGAGACCTCATTTGGAGGAAACATATCTCCTCTTTCATACCGGTTTACAATATGGTATCTTCATCAGGTATGTAGAAACAGTCCTCCCTCTCTTTCTGAGAGGAAGAATCGCTTATCTCTGGACTCTACCTGGTAGAGTACTGCTCTCATACATTATCTACTGGCAGATAAAAAGAGACAAACTGCTATTGGAGTTATTATTCATGCTGCTTATATTGTTTTTAATGTGTTAAAATATCTTAAGTGTGTGCACATGTGCATGCATAAAGAGAAAGAAATACATATAGTAAGCCATGCAAAACCATTCAGAAGTGGTTGTATGTATGTATGTATGTATGTATGTATGTATGTATGTATGTATGTATTGCTTATATATTGGTAAATATCTTATTTTCAGTGCAGACTCTCATCATCCCAAAGTACATTTAATTGAGCCTTAGAAGTTTACTGAGTTTTAGTAGCTGAAAAACTGAATACCTGAATGATAAAGCTGTTAAATGAAATAATAAAATCCTTCATATACTCTTGCTTTTGGGGGGGGGGGGATTTACAAAATACAACTTTTCAGGATAAATCTCAAAATAAAGAAAATTAGTGGTGACCTAACAAGTAGTTTAAGGAATAATCAAGGGAAATTAACACATATTACATTATTAGTAGTAGTAGTAGTACTCCCCAGCTTTATCTCTGGTCAACTCCACACAGCATACATACCTAATGCTCCTGCCTCCTATTTTCCCCACAACAACCCTGTGAAGTGGGTTGGGCTGAGTAACAGACATTTAACTAACCTCTCTTTATCTTCTTTTGCACAATATGAGATTTGATCTACATTATTGGGACACATAGGCAATTCATTGGAACTAGATTCTTGTTCTTCCTCCTCCTCTTCTGCTTGAGCCAGCCCATCAGAAAAGTATACTTCTTCATCACCTTCATCTTCATCAAGTGCACACTGTGTAGATCCTCCCCATGTTGCCATTGTTCTAGCATTAGGAATTAAAGAACAACAATAATACTGCTGCGTAAGCATAATAAAGTGAAATTAGGTCATACAGAACTAAAACATTAGACCATATCAGAACCAATATCAAATATTTCCTAAATGAATATCACATTCTGGGAATACATTTTGCTTTGTTGTAGCTCCATTATTTTTTTTTTTTAGGAATTCTACAAATCCCAAATGATATCTAAAGGATAAATATGCATTTTACTGTTATGCTCCCTTTTGGTAGACTTCTTTCCCATTAGTGCAGAGAACCACAGAGATGACCTTGGAGAAACTATGCAACAGCAGTTAGAAAAACATGATTTAAGTCTAAGACAGGACATTTACATTAGAAAGGAACTCAGACTCGCTCTGCATTAACTCTCCTGAGTATAAAAGGAAGGGATGAAAAATGCTGCCTTTCAAAATTATGTTACTATAGCCTATATCAATAAAGTAGAGTTTCAGTCTTTCTTGCGGAATGTGTTTCATGACCTGGCCTACCTTGAAGGGCTGACAGTGTCTATAAAAGAATCAAGTTTTTTTAAAGCAAACTATTTATAATGTAACAGTTGCTGCTCATATTCTTATACTGAGTTATAAACTTGGCTACCTAACCATCATTCTGGCCACTCATAATAATAATTAAAACGTGATCAAAAGGCTGAAAGTTTGGAGAGAGTTGCTTCAGTCCTAGAAACATTTGATGAAAAGACAAACATGACAATAAATGCCACTGTAGCCATCGACTAGGCAACCATTTTAACCACAGGCCTGGTGAAACAGATAGGAAGCAAAAGTATCATAGCCTTTTCAGCTCTTAGGATAAACTGTGGAGAAAAAGATTCCTTTCCCCTCAGGTAATGCTCAGACAATTCTAACTATAGTTATTTTCAAAGGATCCTAATCCTTTTGGGGAAAAAATACTCTTTACAGCAAATGTTTCAAATATCAAAATATACACCAGATGAACAGAACTTAATCTTACTTTTCTGTTCTGCTTTGCAGGGGAGTGCACTGAGTCTCTGATCCGTCACTTTTAACAGATCCAGGAGCAGCAGGTGCAGCATCTGCTAAATCTCTTCTTCTCTGATGCTCGGCCATTAGGGCTTCTAGCTGTTTTCTTCTCTGTCGCAATTCTTCTCTTAAAATCTCATGTCTACGCATCTCAGACCAAAGCTGTTTAAAAATAAATATTTATAGAATATTCATGAGGTTTAAGTCAAAGTATGTTAATGCAAAATTATACACAAGAAAAAGTTTTCTTTTCTTGTTAAACACACTGAAACTGTATGTGTTTTGGGATGCCTTGAGTTAAAGTAGCACAGGAAACATATTCCCATGTCAGACAACTCTAATAGTAATATAAACATTAGGGAAGACAGAAAACATGTTTTACATTCTTCTTTTAAACCACTGGAAGCCATCATGAATGTTTGCAAAGACAAAAAGATGGAGTAAACATTCAGTCAATCAATGAGGTAAGCAAAGAAAACAAAGAAACAAGTTAGAAAATACAGAAAGTTCTTTCCCATTTCTCCTCTAGTTGCTTCCAGCTTTCATAATGTTTATTATCAAACATTATCAGAGTCTTTAGGTCTGTTTGTGTATTCTGTTTTGCTGCTTTGTTTCTTGAAAATTCATTAAGAGGAAGAGATAAAGAAAACTAGTTGTCTTCTCAGTTACAATGCTGTTATATCAGTTTCTCTAAGAGGAAAGTATACCGGCATTATTAAAGAAGTATGTACAGTACCTCACTATCCACCGCCAATTCTTCTGACTGAATCGGAGACTTGCTCGCTGTGCTGATTTCATTAGCAGCTGGTATGGAATTATTCCCTGCACAATTGTCCAGGCTCGATGTCAGCTAAAAAAGAATTAAATATTAATACTGCAGTCTGAGTGCTCAAATAAAAACTTACACCAAATGAACGATACACTGTGTTGTTTTTTTTAATTAACTCAACTGATTCCTCATGTCAGTAAGTCTGAACATCCTGGTTATGTACTATGTACCAACAGCAGAGTGAAGAGTACTGATTAGTTTCTGAATATTTCATCTAACTCTTTAAGGATATCTCTTTTAAACATCTAATGTATCTTTGTTCAGTTTATTCAAAGCTGCATTTTCAAATGTTTCTTTGCAATCAGGACAAAAAACACCCTCTTCCCCTTTTTTAAATTAATTAATATCAAGATTAATCTTCTTGCTACAAATAAAACTGCCTCTGAGATTCTGTCCTTCCCTCCCTTATGTTAGAAATCCAAATGGGTTGTACATACTTGAAGATCTGGACAAGCCTTCTGCAGCACCTGAATTTTTTCTTGAATATTTATAAGCTTCTTTCTTTCTTCTTGAAGATGTTTAAGTTCTATCTTTTGTTGCTGAAGTTTAGCTTCATAAAATTTCTCCCTAAAAATAATAAGCTCTGTGTTGTTATTTTCTGAAGAAAAAAATTACTAGGACATATAATATTTTAATATTTAATATTTAAATTAATTAATTTTTATCTATTTTAATGTTTATTCTGTTTTTACTGTAAACCGCTCCGTGTCACTCTGCAGTAAGATGGGTGGACAAATTTGAAATATAAATAAATAAATATATAACAAAATAGTAGCCTTGTAACTTAATAGGTGATTCCCCACCTTTCTCTGATTTCAAATGGATCCATAAGAAAAGATTAACATAGTTGGATATCCAATGTGAAAGCCTGAAATATATTCATTTTAACGCTAATTGAGAATTGGTGAACCTTTAAGTTGGACCGCACCTTCCTAGGAGACCATGAACAGAGTGGCCAAATCCTCCTGTACTCAGTATAATTTCCAGTATGCATATATTACTGCCCCAAAACAGGATGAGCAAATCCCAGCTATACTTTGAACCAGACATGAAGATGCACATCTTAGACACTGCCAGAGTGATTGGCAGTCAGTAAAACAAAACCAGGGGATCAGCACAAGGGAGAAATCCCACTGATGTGAGGAAAGACTGGCCTAGAAGCCAAGAGACTGTCAGTTCTAGACTCCTTTAGGCATGAAAGTCGGCTGGGTGTCTTTGGCCCAGTCACTCTCTCTCATCCCAACCCACCTCACAGGGTTATTGCTGTGGGGAAAATAGGGGGCAGGAGAATTAGGTATGTTCGCCGCCTTACATTATATATCGCTTCCTCATGAGATGGGCGGTGTCCAAATTTGAAATATGAATAAATTTAAAAAATATATAAAAAGGTGGGATAAAAATAATACAACACTCTACCCCTCCTGAGTGTCTCTGATCTTCATGTGAGTTTCAAAATCAGACTCTCCAAATATGTATCTTCCTCAAATACATTAGCAGATCTGGAGCTTAATTTTATAAAATTCCTTAATGAAAAATACCATACCTTGCTTTTTCATTCAGTCCCACACTTTTCTGTGATTTGTTTGCACTGGTTCGAATATTATTTGGTTGTTGCTGTTCTTTTTCTTCCTCAGCCAGAAAGAATTGTTCCACATTACTCTCTTCTGCAGCCTCTGGCTCCACCTGATCATCCTAAAAGTAACAGCAATATCTTCAGCAGAGGTTTCCTTGAAATTTCCCCCATTCCCATTTTCAACATTTTATGTCATCTGAATGAGTTCTCAGTCTTCAGCAACTGAAGCAATTCAAAGGGTATGTCTCATCTTCCTTTGTTCACTAATGTATACTGTTCCAATTTAATAATAATAATGCAATGCAGAAAGGATATGTAAGAAATAATTGTGAGAGAAGATTTTGAAGGTTTTGAATCATGAGAGGTTTTGAAAATTGAAGACTGGCTTCAATTAGTTAAGATCCATAGAAAATGTTGAGTTCCAGCCCAACCCCTTATGTTAATCCAGTATTACTTTTGATTGCAAACTATCACTACTTTTTCAGAGTCATTTCTCACATTTGATTATCAGGGTGGGTGGCTGCTGTTCAGAGAAAAAGGGGGGAAATGACTTTTAGAGTCAAAGAAATACTTGAATATGGTTATGATGAATGCAAGTGATTAATCATCAAGTATTTTCAAAACAATAAATCAGGAATGAAATTTATTAACCACTAATTAAAACAGTACTTACAATTCAGTACTGTTAAAACTTTTATCTCTGATACCAGAATAAACAATGGCTTTTTAACACAGCAGAGATGTACAGAATTATCACACAGTGCAACCCTTCCAGCAACATGCTTCTTCGAATGCACACACAGAAGACAAAATTCCTAATACACCAGCTATCCACATATATGGAGTTCAGTACATGATAAAATATTTCCACTTCATGGAGGAAAGTAGATATACATATTTATAGCAAGTCAAGCCATGATAAGTTTATTTTGAATGATGCCAGCCATAATTAGTGTCATTTCGGATTTACTTTGGAAAGGGTGAGGAACTTAGGGAAAAGAATTGAAGGTAGTTGCAAAGAAATATCCAAACTACCAACAATCACAGTAAGCAGGGTGCAAGAATTCTAGCTACATGATGATGTGTGTACTATCTATATGTCTGCATATATTCAATAATACGTTTGGATATTATCTTGTCAATTTAAATGCCAGTGGAATCAATTAACGTCCAAACAAATATATGGGAATACTTCAATTTGGTAGAACTATCACTTAAATGTCATGTATTTCTGTCACTAATGAGTTAATATCTTACATTAAAAGGCTGTATATAACTGAAAGTTAAAATATAATTCTAATTTAATTTTTAAAAAGTCTTCAACCTAACAATCCATTTTCAATATTTCACAGTGTAAAAACTACCTAAAATTGAAGCCATTATTGAACAAACCAGACCACAGTACTCTCTTTTAAAGATTATCTTAGTAATACTAGCATGTAAAAAAACTTTTAAAAAGTTAGGAAAATATACCTGGACCATAGCAACAAGATTTTGAAGCTGTTTCAGTTTTTGCTTTGCTGCTATAAATCTGTTAATCTTCTGCTCAAACTCAACATCTACAGGAGCCTCATCAGCTATGCTGCTTCTCCGACTGGATAACGAAGCTTTGCTGATTCTATCAGCTTCAGCATCAATATCCTCATCATCTTCTTGTGGTAAAATCACACCATCTTCTTTCCTGTTATAGTGACAATCTGAAAGGGAAAATAAATTAAATAACTGAATGCAGAATTACAGTATTTAATAAACTATTTAAAAGGAATTAACAAAATCCAAAAGTTGTGCAGATTTTTAAAATTCTATTTGTAACACAAATGTGTATAAAATGACAGATACGTAACAAGCACCATCTTTCAGCAGGCATTTGCTCATAGGGATGCCCCTTGATCATCTTAGTTCCCCTCCTCTGAACTTTCCCTAGCTTTACTATATCCTCTTCGAAGTGCTGCAACCAGAACTGCACACAATATTCCAGGTACAGTCCTACCATTGATTTTTATAAGGGCATTATGATACTTAGCATCTCCGTTTTCAATACCATTTATTATCCCTAATACACTGTTGGCCTTTTTCACAGCAGATGTTCATTAAGTTAACACCTTCACTGAGCTGTCCACCTTTACTCCAAGATCTCTTTCATTATCATTCACTGCTAGCTCTGATTTCATTTGTTTGAACAAGTAGTTAGAACTTTTGGCACTAGTGTGCATCACCTTACAGTATAACACTTGAATGACTGCTGAAAAACTAGAATACTGCTGATTAATTAACGTTGCAGTTAGATTTCCTGCCAACCCTGTACAATGACCAATAAAATATTGAAACATACCTAAAGTTGCAGGCATATTTGGCATCCTTATGTTAGGAGACTGATTATTTATTTCACAGGCTGTATTAAGATGTCTTCCATTTCGGTTATTCGTTCCACACTGCAAATTGCTATTACAGTTAATTTCACCCCAGTTACTGATGCCCTGGGGATTTCTATTTGGAAAAAATCCAGTACATTATCAATATGTTTAGTTTTTTACAAGTTATACACTAACACAAAATAACAATACACAGATACAGTAAAATATTTGCTTTATCAAAACAAAAAATTCCCTTTATCCCCTACTAGAATCCACCCTATCCTCATAATGGATCTTATCAGAACAACCACCACCAATCTCACAAAAAGCATATCTTAAAAGCACTCTATGCCAAGAAGTTGTATGCCAATGTTAAATTTAAAGAATACTTAGTTTCATATTAACATAATGTTATACAAAATACCCTTCAAATTCTCATGTTTGGAACATGTTTTTAACTTCAGTAAACAGCAGTCTCAAAATGCAACCATATAATCGCTCCTTTAGGAGAGACAGTAGGTTGAATCCACACAGAAATGACCTTTGGTAGTGTTCAAATCAAAGGATTTAAAATTTAGTAAATAACTTAAATCAGATTTAACTTGATCAGCTTTAAATATGCCTAAGCCTGAAGATCTAGCCTCACTGATTAAACCAGAAAATGCTAGAAAATAAGTGAAATCGCAAAGTGAAGTATTTCCTCAAATATCTAGACCCAAAGAAAGTTCTGTCTTGTTTCTTGCTGGTTAGCTGCCCACATGAAAAGCAGTAGATACTTCCCTTCAATGAAAAATTCACTTTCCAGTAATAAAACCTTGAAGGGAATTCTTATTATAAATATCAAATAATGATACAATCATAAAAAGGAGCAGGTGTATCTTGGTTCATAAATGACCTGCCATCAAGGACGTAAAAGAAAAATCAACAAGTCTAAGGAAGATCCTAAATTATTTAGGATGATCAGACACAAAAGTTCTAAAAAGCTGTCTCCAAATAGGGTGGCTAACAGGAAACAAAATTCAATTATGTATGAAATGTATGCAAACACACAAATGCAAGATGTGAATCAGTTTTAATTAGTGAAGCAACAGATGATGATGCTAAGTTACAATTAGTATCAATGCTCACTTACTAGTATGACAAATAAAATAAAAAATATTGTGGGCAGCGGTCTTCCTAAAGCCTTGAAAAAAGTGACAGCACAATCAGGAAGGTTTACAACTGACCCAGTGAAGCAGATGATCCCACTGTCTGTGCATTACTGCACACAAAGCAAGGGTAAAATAGATAAGTTCCCTTTAACTTCACTATACATAAATATCACACTGCACATTCAACGGGCTGGACAAGAATAAATGCTGTAACAAAATTAAGTTTTGATTACACATTGCTTATTTATTAACTTATATGCAATAAACCAACCTAATATTTGTAACAGGTTGTGGATTCTCATGTTCAGAATCACAGTCTGAATCTTCTGTCTCTTCTTCCTCTTTAGTATTTTCATTTACAGCATCTGTCATCATATCAGAAGTTTGCTCATAATAGTGGACTAATTCACGCAATTCATTTAATCTCTTACGAACTTCATTCAGCTTCCTACAATAAAAAAAAAATCAATTCCATTTATTCTGTAGATATCAAATGGTAGGGGGAAGGTCTTCAAAAGATTTGATTACTCTTTTTACATAAAAGATTTTGGATAATGTATGTACTGTTAATTATGAAGGCAATAATTTTGTAAATTATTTCTTGTAAATGCATTGGAGATAAAATAGACAAAGACCGGAACCTCTTAATACTTTGTTCTGTGTATGTTAGGCAATCAGTCAATATTACAGACTTTATGATAAAGTACTAGAAAAACCTTTGCACCAAACATCTGAGTAATTCTTCTGAAATCCTGAATACTTAATATTCAACTACAGGTTCAAATTATTTCACGTTGTATTATGAAATATTGGAAATGGTAGGTTAAGGTTATTTCTATACTCACAATGGCATAGGGACTGATTATCCAAGGGACCACCTATCTCTATTTCTGCCCACTCTCTACATTTGGGCAGAGTGGGTACGTTCCACGGCCCTTTAATTAAATGTTGCCATATTGTTGGACCAAGGAGGTGTGCCCTCTGGAACAGCATTCACCAGAGATACAGACAGTACTCACTCTCCTGGCATTCCAGAAAGCCTTTAAGATCTGGCTATGGGGTTAATGCAGTTGTTATGTACTGGTGGGGTCCCTGTTGTATTATTCTAGTTGCTTTAGCCCAGACTGCCTGTTTATGTGAGTTTTAACTGTTTTAATTATTTTTACTAGTTTTTCTGGATTTTGTAAGCCACCCAGAGTCTTCTGGAGTGGGTAGCCATAACAAATCTAATAAATTTAAATTAATAAGTATGCTATTCTTTCTCAATCTCCATATTCCTAAGACCATCTATAAAGATTATGGTAGAGCTAAGATTTGAATTGTCTTGATTCATAACTCAACCTTTTAATCGCAACACCACCTTTAATAACATTGTTATTACTTTGTATTCTATTGATTCTGTTGATTTCATAATAGTCCAAGTCATGTGCTAGAATTAAGATTCTGAAAAGAGCAGCACATATAACATTGCACTGCTAAACAACAGCTTGAATCTTATTTATGTATGCTGTAAGTTACTGCCATTAAAAATGTGTATGCATGTACCTATTTTAAAATGAAAACAATCATATGCATCTTTGATGTTCACCATCAAGCTATATAAATTACCATTAAGCATGAAAATCTACCTTTTTCCCCATAGTTTTTATAAACTGAAATCCCCTGTAACACAGTATGCATTATTACAACCACATTAATACAGAAAATAACCAGACTTATGATTTCTATGATGGAAGACTCGTTACCAACTGCCTTTTAAAACTAATAAACTACAATAGTTAATAAGCCAACATAATGTAATAATGGATTACTGAAGCTTTTCTGTTGGATTTAAGTTGTTGTCTTCTTCGCTGTCATTCTGTGAGGTTACGGAATCTGGATGATAGGCAGCTGAGGATGCTAAGCTGTTTGGTTCTTCATTGACAGCTGTTATAGGCCCCACAGGTGTAGAAACGATTGAAACTGCACTCCTTTGATCAATACTCCTCTGAGGAGATCCTGCAGCTGGCAGAACTGCAAAGTTTAAGACAATTCTGTTTAATCCTGTTTTATGTAAAAAAGATGCATCTGTTGAATATTTGAAGCACTGTGTTTCTTATCAAAGACTAAAACATATGTTTATATGTTATAAACAGTTAAAGGTAATTTAACAAAGGTGCTTTTATGTACTGTTAAACATATAGTCTTTTTAAAGCAGCAACTTGCAATTGCTATCTTAACCCCAGCATTTACTGGTCCCTTTCTCACACATATTCCCATAGCTTTCATAGAAGAGTCATTCATAGAAAATGTAGAGAGGCTGGGAGAACTTGGAAACAGGTAGAGTAAAGAAGAAACCCACATATTCATCTTCATAATGCCTGAGAATAGGAATCCCACCCAACATGTATACAGCAGCTGCAATTTATCCCTTTACTACTTTCCTATGATATGAGAGGGAAAAATAACTTTAAGGAAGAATCTCTGAGAAAGCAGAATTTACAGAGATTGGGACAAAACATTTGACACACAAATGTTAGCAATTTTGTTTCAAAATGCAACAGAAATGACATGATTTCCATTTTCAGCAGAAATTCTGAATAATTAAATCACAATATCCCAAAAAAGTAAAAATTAAAAACCTAATTTACACATCAGGTTGCCATCTACTTACATGATGATGAGTTGTTAAGATGCTGGTCACGAAGTGTATGCAGTGCTCCTAGCAATTTATCCATCTTTTGCTTTTTACCCTGCAATGCTACCATCTTACTAAAAAGTTGTGCTTTCTTATCAGAAAGATGCTCAGACACAGAAGAATTCCTGCTCTGGGAAACTTCTCTGGCAAGAGAGAGACTCTCTGCTTGCCTTCTATTATCTGGCACAGGTTGAATCTAAAAGCAAGCATATATATATTATTCTAAGCACTGAAATGTTCAGTAGTGAAATGTTTTGAAGTACAGTTAATATGTCCACTGCCCTGAGAATATGCCTCACTCAATTCAGTATAATTTACTTTTGAACAAATACAGTCAGGTCCAGAAATATTGGGACATCGACACAATTCTAACATCTTTGGCTCTATACACCACCACAATGGATTTGGAATGAGACAAACACAATGTGCCTTAACTGCAGACTGTCAGCTTTAATTTGAGGGTATGTACATCCAAGTTGTAATTCCTACACCGTTCACCTGAGTTGGATGTACATACCCTCAAATTAAAGCTGACAGTCTGCAGTTAAGGCACATTGTGTTTGTCTCATTCCAAATCCATTGTGGGTTGTAATTCCTACACCGTTCACCTGAGTTGGATGTACATACCCTCAAATTAAAGCTGACAGTCTGCAGTTAAGGCACATTGTGTTTGTCTCATTCCAAATCCATTGTGGGTTGTAATTCCTACACCGTTCACCTGAGTTGGATGTACATACCCTCAAATTAAAGCTGACAGTCTGCAGTTAAGGCACATTGTGTTTGTCTCATTCCAAATCCATTGTGGGTTGTAATTCCTACACCGTTCACCTGAGTTGGATGTACATACCCTCAAATTAAAGCTGACAGTCTGCAGTTAAGGCACATTGTGTTTGTCTCATTCCAAATCCATTGTGGGTTGTAATTCCTACACCGTTCACCTGAGTTGGATGTACATACCCTCAAATTAAAGCTGACAGTCTGCAGTTAAGGCACATTGTGTTTGTCTCATTCCAAATCCATTGTGGGTTGTAATTCCTACACCGTTCACCTGAGTTGGATGTACATACCCTCAAATTAAAGCTGACAGTCTGCAGTTAAGGCACATTGTGTTTGTCTCATTCCAAATCCATTGTGGGTTGTAATTCCTACACCGTTCACCTGAGTTGGATGTACATACCCTCAAATTAAAGCTGACAGTCTGCAGTTAAGGCACATTGTGTTTGTCTCATTCCAAATCCATTGTGGTGGTGTATAGAGCCAAAGATGTTAGAATTGTGCCGATGTCCCAATATTTCTGGACCTGACTGTATGTGGAAGATTGTACAGCAATATTGTAGTATTTTCAAAAACTATTTACAGAAGCTCTCTTTAAGTGTGGACTGTCAGAAATTCCAAAGAACCTGAAGTCCTGACAAGTCCCTATTAAGATAGAAGAAAATCAGAATTGTGACTATTTCCCTCTCACTGCAAAAATTTTTTTTAATCAATTGAAGTCAGCTGGATTTTTAAAATTTCAGCTAAGATCAGCCAAAAATCCCCTTCCATGTTGGGGTACAGCTAGGAAAAAGGAGACCTCATTTTGTGAAACTGAAATATACCTCTATCCTCCTTTTATTTTGCCCCCAAATTTTGAGCTTGAGTATTATGCAGAATACAGCTATAGGTATTTCTGAAGAGGATTACTATTACCATGCTCTGTTTTGATTATCATTTAAAGTTTCCCACACCGTTGCAAATGTAGCCAACAATATCATTTTTGCATGAGAAGATACCATATAGCTTACAGCAACTCCAGGACTTCAAATAAAAAATATCATTAAAATAATTTAAGAGAAAGACAGGCAAAAAAAAAAGAACTGCAACTAAATAAAAGAAATATGAAATCTTGTGGGAGAATGTGATTGGTGGACAAAGAGGAATAAGGAAAGACATAAATATAAAAAGAATAGAAAAAAGTGATTATGCAAATGAGTGCATGCAAATCCTGTGAAAGAGTTGCTTCAGAATCCATAGGAGGGCTTATCGCTTTTTGAATCATTAAAGCAGCTGAATCTTTTTCCATGCTCATGTGGGTTATTTGAAAGATGTTCCTATCTCCACAATTTGCAAACTGAAGTGGCTGTGCATATACACACACACGGAGAGAGTCAGAAGTGGCTTCCAAGGCAGCTACATAGTTGGTAAAGACAAAGCTGCTTTAATGATTCATTTGTGCTTCTGAGCATTCCAAAGGGCCTCTTTTGAAGGATCTGAACAGTCTTAATTGAGCACATCATTTTTGTGTGTAAATGGAGAGTGATGGAAATGGAAGTTGCCTATAGAAACCAATGGATAAAATAAAATTTTAATTGTGTTAAGACTAAATACAGCATGTCTACCCTACAAGGAAGGAAAAAAGAAAACACAACAATGAAACCTGAGCATTATCAATGGACGCAATGGTGACTGAAGGAGGATGGAAAGCTAAAAGCATCTGGGACCTTTAACAAAAGTTCTCTGTGCTACATTTTATTGTGAGGCCAAACATGTCAAGGCATCTTCTGCTGATTTTGATCGGCAAACTAGTCTTAAGATCATTTGCATACTCACTCAAAAAAGGTTTACCTGAGAGTCATGAAGCTGATTGTGAAAACGCTGAATTAAATCATTTAATTCTTCATTCAGCTCGGACGTTAGACTTACTCCTGAAATGCTACCTGTGGTTTCCGTTACAACTAAAAAGAGGAAGGGAAAAAGAATAGTCCTACCCACATATCAAAGTACGAGTTTATTAAAAATTAAGAAACAGAAATTAAATCACACCATCAATAATGACATCTCAAAGTGTATCTAAATATTATTATTTTCCATTGGAAATATGAACAGCCTTAAGTTATTAATAACACACATATTCCTGGTATTATTAGAAGCCTGAATCATAATACATAATGCAGCATAGCACATTCATTATCTTTTGCTTTCCATTTACAGTGGGGCAAAAAAGTATTTAGTCAGTCACCAATTGTGCAAGTTCTCCCACTTAAAAAGATGAGAGAGGCCTGTAATTTTCATCATAGGTATACCTCAACTATGAGAGAAATCACATTGTCTGATTTTTAAAGAATTTATTTGCAAATCATGGTGGAAAATAAGTATTTGGTCAATATCAAACATTGTCTGATTTTTAAAGAATTTATTTGCAAATCATGGTGGAAAATAAGTATTTGGTCAATATCAAACATTGTCTGATTTTTAAAGAATTTATTTGCAAATCATGGTGGAAAATAAGTATTTGGTCAATATCAAACATTGTCTGATTTTTAAAGAATTTATTTGCAAATCATGGTGGAAAATAAGTATTTGGTCAATATCAAACATTGTCTGATTTTTAAAGAATTTATTTGCAAATCATGGTGGAAAATAAGTATTTGGTCAATATCAAACATTGTCTGATTTTTAAAGAATTTATTTGCAAATCATGGTGGAAAATAAGTATTTGGTCAATATCAAACATTGTCTGATTTTTAAAGAATTTATTTGCAAATCATGGTGGAAAATAAGTATTTGGTCAATATCAAGTCTCTCATAGTTGAGGTATACCTATGATGAAAATTACAGGCCTCTCTCATCTTTTTAAGTGGGAGAACTTGCACAATTGGTGGCTGACTAAATACTTTTTTGCCCCACTGTATTTCTTGCTTCGTTTATTCGTTTCGCTGATTCTTAGTTGGACTGCTCATCTGACATTATAATATGCAGATGCTTCCAGTGTTGAACTGAAAGCGGAGCTGAATACAGCATCAACATGCTTCTTTTTTAAAAAAAGCTTGGGGTATATTTCTCATCACCGTTGCTAAAAATAATTACTGGAAATCTAAATTTTCAGTGAACACATTTGTCAAGTGTCTGATGTGGCCCATGAAATTTGGTATTATTGGGTTTGTGTCTGTTTAAAAGGGATTTTTTAAAAAATATATTCAACATACCAGAATCATCCATAACGGCAATAGCTTGCTCTGCTTTATGCTGAAGGGCAAGCAGGGCAGCTTGCCTCCCGTGAAGAGCCTTTAATTGTTCCTGCTGTTGTAGCATCCTTTTCAGCAAGTCATGTTGCTTCTTTAGATTTGCAAGTTCTTCTGTGGCCTCTTGCTGAGGATCTCTAGCCTGGAAAAAAGTGATTATGAAAATCATCATTTATACTGCACCAGAAATAATTTCCTTACACTTTTTATTGCACTTAAAGTTTGCAAAATACTTCTGTGAGAAAGGAATTAACTCTTAATCTAAAAATATCTAAGATTTTGTATGTTACATTAAGCAAAATATTGTACTAAAAGGACATATCAGGGTTTTTTTTAAATAACAAAGTAGAAGTTTGGTACTGTTTATTATTTCAAGTAATCAGCAAAAATTTATGCTTAGCAGAGTAACTCTCAATTAAATATGCACAACGACACAGAGGTAGTTCTCAGTTTAAGAACAAGTTCTATTCCCAAGGTCTGTCCTTAAGTCGAATTTGTATGTAAACTGGAACAGTATTATTGTATAATACTGTGTAAGTAGTATTGTGTAATGATCTCAAACCATTGTGTATTTACTCGAATCATTATGTATTTATCTTAAATTCTGCTACAATAGGCTTCGTTCTTAACATCCTTAAACTGGGCACTCTTAATCCAGGAACTACCTGTGCTGACCATTTATTTTTTTCTAAAGGCTTGGACTGAGAATAATTAAGGCACAACATTTAAGAGCCAATCAATTGGGGGTGGAATCAACAGCACATCTGAGTCCTTATTATTTCAATGGGAGAGAATGAGATGTGCCTCTTCCAGTAAAATTAAAGCTATTCAGAATAGGCAGTCTTGCAAAACTGTGATTATGTAAAACTACAAGTTAGAGTAAAATGTGGGGGGAAAAAAACATTTAACAGAAGGCCAAAACGGAATTCATACTCAGTTCAAATACCTTCCTGAAATTATCCAAGATAAGCACAACATACAACTCTTCATTTTTAATGTCTAATTTAAAGCTTGAGGGGAGCTTTAAAGATGGGGGAGGGAAAGAGAAGATAAATCTTTAAAAAAACCAAAGGTATAGGACTAATCTGACCAAAATATAGAAATAGATCCAAGTTATACAGCAAATAATTTCTCAAACTTTAATAACTGTATAGAAGATACCATATTGATAAAAACAGTTTCCTCATTTCTGGCTACAGAGCACCTAGTTCACAAAGCAGGAATCTCTGCTAGAATTTATTCATTTCTATTTTCCAAAAAGCTGGTCAGAATCCAAGCCACATTAAAAAATGCCATTTTAGGAAACAATAAATATTTTAAGTAATTTTCTGATAAATAATTTAGAATTTTGAGGGAAAAGTCCAAGAAATACTGAAGTCAATTACACCAGTGCAATTAATGAACTTGAAGATTAGTTGCATCACAGAGAAGCTTCCATATGGAAGTCCTCAACTTTTTTGGTTTATAAAGGAAGAGTAATACCTTCCATATACAGGAAGTACTTTCCTGGAATAAAGAATAATTAGGAAACAATATAAAACCTGTTAATTTAAGTATTCATTCTAACAGACATTACCAAAAAGAATTAAGAAATCTTTGAAACAAAAGCAATTACTGACTGGCTTTTAAACTTTCAGAGAAAAAAAAGGAAGACTTAAAAGATAATGATCTTTTACTGAAAGATTCCCAAGGCAATATTTGGTAGTACCTTTGAGAGCAATCCAGGTTCTTGGCTATTAATCCTACTAGACCAGATTTCTCTGCCATTCAGGGCAGTTGTGTCACTTTTCCCTTTTGGAGTTGCTGTAACATCCATGTCTGAAACCTGTCCTTGAGTAGCTGAATTCCCTAGTTTGTCCTCAATGCAGGGCCGAGTTTTCAGACTAAAAGATACCTCCTTTATCAAATAATTTAGTAAGTCAGACTGTGAGCATATATTTCTGTGAAGCATAATTTTTCAAGTTACGGCCTATTCTGATTTGTCAACATAATATGTCTGTGCTTAATTCACTGCAATTTTATTTGTTGCAAAATATCAATCACTATGATCCAGAGGGTACATGCATACAGGAATTTCACTCTTCTTTAGGTAGCTTCCATTAAATATTTCAATTGCCATTTATATTTCAGAAGGTGAGAAAGAAAGCAGTTTGGAGGCATGGAGGCAATCATTCTAATCAGAACACTGTGGCCTCATGGATGCCATACACACGTTTCTATGGATTGTGACCAGTATATAATTAGGTAATTATTTCTACAGGACATAGGTCAAGCCCTGAAATCCACCATGAAATAGTAAGCCTACAACATTATTAATGGTATAGGAATTCAATTTGAGACAACCCGTGTCAAACACACAATATCTATTTTGCATTAAAAGGGGCTGCTCCAAACTCATCAGGAGCATTTTGATATTACCAGAAGAGTTCTGAGGTTGAAAAACAGGCCATTTCAAACACCTTTGGTAAGTTCAGAATGTCCCTGAAGTATTTCCAGTGAGGCTTTGTTTTGCTTTGAATCTGAAATGTGTTACACACCACTGCAATCTCACATGCACAAGAAAAGTTCTCATATCTGCTGCAGAACATTATCCTTCATAGAAGAGAATGAAAGATAGATTAGTGGTCTGTTGAACTGTATGAAGCTGAAGTGTCTACAGCATTTTTATATAATACTGGTCACACTTTAAACTTTCAAGACTATTGCACACTTAATAACTTTGTTCCTGCAGAAATTCTTCCACATAAAACAAAAATGAACCTTTTGACAAGTTTTTCAAAGGCATAATATTCTAATGCAACCCAGTTATTCTCATCACTTGTAAGAAAGAACTGCTGCTTCTGAATAAATAGCGTGCTTGTTACCCTCATCCACTTCCTTACTGAATACTTTGGGCTTTTACTAGCCTGGCTCAACTCAAAAATTTTCTGACAGAGAGCTTGCTTCTGGCTGCCATCAGCTATCAAGTACACACAAAGCAATTTCTCACTATCCCACAAAGTCAACAATAAATCTATCAGCACATTGCTTTTGGAAAGGGTGAGGTAGGACAGTTCCTTCTTAAGTAATAAAATACAGTCATAAAATGTTTTATTGTAAGTTTTATAATACTTAGCATTAGTAAATAATGAAATGTAGGTTTTCTTAAATAAAAATCAGTTCTAAACATCAATTATCTGAAAAGCCATCTTCATTTGTAGCACCTTAATTACTAAAAAGTAGCTTACCGTTGTATCTGAAACTTCAGACTGCACATCTATGTTTAGTGATGTGCTCTCAGCTACAGAACCAGATCCCACAGCTGAATCTATAGTCCGACCATCCTCCTCATTTTCTCTAGCCTGAAATATTTTTGTGGTATAAACAAAAAGCTAATAAATGAAATAATGAAAGGAATTTTATGGGGAAAGTGTTATATAGCAAACTCATCCCCCTTTTGACCTTTATGAATTTTTTCAGTGAATTTCAACTGTCTTTCAAACTTACTAGCATTTTCTGCAAAAATTTCAGGTAAGATTTCTCTTGTTCTTTCAGATGATCTATGAGATGTGATAAACGTTCAACTTTAGCAGATCTCTCATTTTTCTCAACAAGGTCATCTCTCATGGAACTAGCTTTTGCAATGTAGTCACGAATTTGAACTAATCTGCTCACAATCTGAAAAAGTCACAAGGAGTAATAATTAGTTAATCAGGTTGAGTTAATATCACGCTGATGTACTGGATCTAAAGCACTATCATAAAACAAATAGATTTCAATCCCTATAGTCCATTAATATGGGACAACCTATCATATCAAAATACAAAGCTAGTTAGCAAGGCAGTGGAATCCTTTACATGGATTTATGATTATTTATATATGGCACATGTGGACTCAGATAGGCCTGCACATATGTGAGTATTTACAAAAATTCTTAAACTGGAGGTGAGAACCTCCAGGGAATTATGAGCCACTTACAAGAGGATCACGTTTTAAAATATTCTGCAGGCATGGTTGTTCAGATTGGACTTTTGAGCAATACTAAGTTTATAAACTGATTTTCCACCTACCCCCTTATGTCTGTTCTTTTAATTATTATTTATATTATAAAGTATTATTTTGATACTTTATAATACTTAGTCAAAATCAATACTTTTGATACTTAGTTTTTTAATTCATGTATCTATTTTTACAAAATGCTGAAATCTTTTAAAATTGATCACTAGATCAAAAATATCTATACAATTTTATAATTTGCTTTAAAATGTAAGATATTTCATGCATTGGGCTTTACATAGTTGTAATGGACAAAACTTTCATTTCTGCAGAGTATAACAACTGATATCTTTGGATCATGTGACAAACTATTATCAGATATTGGCCACTAGTATCAATGTCTTCTCTCAGAAATAAATATCTGTGCTCCAGAATCTCTGTAGGTGTGGCATATAGCAGTACAGCCATAGTCTTTGGAATATATGTCACTACATTGGGGAAGGTCAGTACCTTTATCTGTTATTTTAAATCTCTGGGCATTCAAAATTGGAAAGGTTTGCTGGAAGAAAAGGTCTATCAATCTGCTGGTAGTTCTAATAAAACCAAGGCTAAATTATGAAAGTGCAATAAAATATATGTATCTTTTGATTTCACAAGTTTTTGTTACTGTAGAAAAACAGCCTCGGTGTGTTCTTTGTGAGAAAACACTATCCATTGAGTGTATAAAGTCAAGAAAACTAAAATGATACCTAGAAACAAGTCATGCCAAAAGTTCTACCTTTGTTTTATTTGATACAAAGATTAACATTAAAAGTATGTAGTTTATTTATTTCTTGCCTAATCCTAATCTCAATGAAAACATTCATTTTATTGGGGGAGGGGGAATATTGTGCAAACCCATTTATTTATTTATTTATTTATTATTAAATTTGTATGCTGCCCATCTCGTTCAATGGGTGACTTTATCATTTTAGGAGGCTGTGGTATTGTAAAGTTTGAGAACTCCAGGAGTAATGAATTAACCAAAACACTTGGGTTTATTCCAAGATGAGGTTATATAAGTTTTTTAAATGTATTTTTTAAAACACTGGAGAACTCCAAGAAGTCCAGCTGTATAACTTTTATTTCTATTAATGGGATTTGCTTGGTTGGTTGTGCTTAAGCCTCTACAATCAAATCCCTGGATCAGTGAAAGAAAAGCACTGTATTAGAAAATCACATTAGTACTGCATAACAAAAACATAATATTTTTAGCTCTCAATATATACTTCAAAGTTACCTCATTTTCAAAGTAAAAAATCTCTAGAAAATGTCTTCGTTTTAAAAATGCACAGCAATTAAATATTACTCTTTAAGATGAAGCATAAATGAAGTACAAACAGCACCTGGCTACTATCCAATGCAGGTTCACCTCTACCATCTTCTTCAATTGAGATTGGACAATTCTGCAACAAATCTTTATTCAAAGCAGCTGTAAATAAATCTTTATATTTTGAAGATACACCAGTTTCTTGCATCTGAGAACTCACTGCAGCATCTTTGCCCTTGTTAGTATTAATCTGTAGTGACAGGAAGTTGAATGGTTTTCTGTTTTCATTAAGCTGGCGTTTGTTGTTAGCAGCTGTTGCTCTGCCCTGAGAATCACTTCCAATACTTCTCTATAGTGGAAACAATAACAAATTATTCACATTTCCAATAATTCTGTACTACTTTTAAGTAACTTTATGGGGTGTTCCTGGATTACACTCTGAATAAGCAAATATTATCTACTTCACTTGAACTTATAAATCAATATGAAATACTGATGTATTATAACAATTCGGTTTAAACTGCAGAATCCATTCCTTATTCCTCCCATCTCTTTCTAGAGCCTCATTCTAATTGTTCTATTTCTCTCCCACTATCATAAATATCAAAAGAAAGGGTGGCAGGAAGCAGAACTGAGTGCTGAAATAAATGTTGGTCCTATAGTGAAGCATTGTAGGAACGAAACTCCTAGCAAGAATTTAGTCTCTGGAGGAATACAGAACCGAAGAGACTTTATAATACATACTGACATTACACAGTACTTGCATAGTTGTTAAGTATCAGGCAGAAATATCAACAGGCTTTTTTTTGTATATGTAGCAATAAAAAGATTATGATGGTGACAATAAACTTAACCTGAAAAAATGTATATTATTGTTACTCAGAGTTTAACAGATGTCAAAGCACAGGCAGCAGACTCTGAAACTGTTCTTCTCAAGTAGAATGCACAGCAATATATTTGGACAGATGCTAGCATTCACAGACGGGGAAACATAACACAAAAACATAGGACATTCTGGCAGCTGCTAGTTTTTACATTTCTTTCTTTGATTCTTCAACAGCAAAAAACCTAAATGAAACACCATAATCACAGGTTATGCCCAAGACTAACCTTCAGAGGATGAAGTGGGTATAATTCAAGAATAACTTTATAGATAAGAAAGTTAAGCGGCATCTAGTTGATCTTGGCTGATCCCAAACAAACCAAACAGGACTGTACCTGTTTAGTACTGGGACATCACTGGGAAGTCCCAGACATGTAGACTAAGCTGAGAACTCAAAGAAAAAAAAATCCTGGGAAACAATAATGTCAAACCATTTCCATATTGTTCCCAAGAAAACTTCATGGACGTGTTTACTGACTTAAGGGAAACATGTTATCTTTATGTTTTAGTTTTATTTAATAGCCTTACATTTTAGAAGTAGAAAAAAGGCTTGTTTCTTTTCTTCTTCCAGGAAGAAAAATAGGTGGATACTCTGCCTTCTAACTTAGGTAGAATGGTGAATCAATCAAGTCACTTGAAGGCAATTCATACTTTTCTTATCACAATGTGAGCAGCTATACAAAAGCCAGCAATACCAGGAAAAATATTTAATGTGACCCCTGACAAAATTCCTTTTCTTACATTTCCTTATTGAAATAGTGATGTCACAGGGAAACCCAGGTAATAACAAAAAATTGTATGCTTTCTTACAAATAGCACAACTCCAATTATGCCTAATCAACATAACTTGAGACATAAAAATAGACAACATACACATGTTGAAGCACATCATCTCAGATTTAAGGGCATATTATGCTTTCTTCAGCACAGAATTCTGTTCACAGCTTTTCTCAACTCACCTAAACATTAAACTATATTATGCAGTGAATAAGATTATTTGCTCCATTTTTTCTTCAATATTCAATTATGTATAGATTTCACTTAGTCTAGTAAACATAGAGCACAAACCTGGTCTAAGTCACTGAAATTTATTCTTTGTTTAAGCTTTTCCAGTTCTGCCTGCTCTGGGACAGACATTTGGGATATGTATCTTGTATGTGGAAAAGTGTGAGGAGTCTTTGACTTCCTTCGTCCAATTCCTGGAGTAGTTTCTGGAGAAATATCGTTGGTAAGTCTTGTTTCACTTTCAGCAGAAACTTTTTTTTGGTTTTTTTCAGAAGATCTATTTGGTCTCTTTGGCTGACCTCCCCAACTCTAAAATAAAACACACAGCACAAAATCACAGGGAAAAGATTTAAAATTATTTAAAGATACTGATGTTTAGAACAGCATAGAAAAAAAAAACCTACCAGATTTCATTAAACTTTACTTCCTGTTTAAGGTAGATATATTACAATCTATGTGTCTCTCAACTCTGTAAAATTGATTTCAAGCTTATACTTCCAACATTTCTTAGATTTTATGTTGCTTTTATTGTAACAGCATTTTAAAGAAGTCTTCAGTTATTACACTTTGTAATTTTATTAACTTCATAATCCATTTCATGAAGTTTAGAAGAAGCTAAACTCATAATCCCCATTTGATATGAATATAAGAAACTGTAGCAATACCGTATTGTTCAATCGATCATCAAGGCTTTCATGGCTCCAGCTTGGTAAGTCGCGTTCATCTATTCCTTCTTCAAAAGGACTCCCTCCTGTAGCCATGATGACAATGATCAGCTATTGAAAAAATAAATACCTGCAGGATGGAAATATATTTTAGTGCACTATCTTTTCATTTATACATAATTCAGACGTTGCACCAATTCAAATGTAATGAGAATATACTGCACAGGATCAGTCACAATCATAACGGGAAATCATTTCTATCATATTTTAACTGGCCAATACTTATAACATTAAAGATCTACCCACCAAAATGCATTAAAACATTATGCCAATTAACACAAGTCTATTTAACAATATATTTAAAAGCCCCTTATAGTTCTTATTTTTAATGACTTTTTTAAAGCATATGTTATTTCTAAATGAAACCTCTGACACAATTTTTCTACAATTTAACTCAAAGGAATTTCCAAAGCTAAGCTCAGTTTATATACAAGAATGATGTAATACAGTAGATATCATACAGGTGAAACTCGAAAAATTAGAATATCGTGCAAATGTTCATTTATGTCAGTAAGG